GTTACTATTCACAAGCGGGGGAAAAAGCCGTACGAAAGAGGCAACAGTTTCTGACAATTCCACGATTGTGTAACAACAGAGAAACACAGAAAATCGATCTAACTTTAAATGAAAACAACGAAACCTTGAATAATTGTATAATTTTTACGCTACGATACGATACGACTTTCGATAGATCTCTACTCGAGGTATCTATTATCTACGAATATATATACCGTTTAGCGAAACTAGTCGAAGAAAATATTGGGAGCACCGATGAGAAAGATAGACGAGATCGTATGATCGAGGGCGTTCTAGGTATAAAAAAAAAGAAAAAAGAAAGAAAGAAAAATTCCAGAACGTGTCTGAGCCTTGATATAACAGCTGAAATCACGAAACCTTTTTCCGTGGAAAAAGGTACGACAATCTGGCGTCAAGGTATCGCGTTTCTCTCGACTGCGCGAGTGGGCGATGCAGGTATAGCGATTAATACTTCTTCTTCTCCTTCTTCTTCTTCTTCTTCTTCTTCTTCGTTCTCTTCCTTTCTGATCTTCCTTTTTAGATCTTCTCCTATGGAAAATCCTGAGAAATTGGGGAAGATCGTTTCCTTAAAAGCCGTAGCCACGGTCCAAAATTATTTTTCTCATGCGGGCCTCGACCTTTCCTGCGTGCCACCTCTCCCCCACCATTCGGCCAATGAAGCTCAATTAATTAATTACTCCGGATAAACGGGGATGAATCGTGACGTAATCTTTGATAAGTGTTCGTGTGCCACTTACACGAATGGCCACGAATGGCCCCGTTAATTTTCGATGATTGTGCATTTAAACCGATTGCGATTATTAGGTCCACGCTAATAGCGTAAGGAATTTACACGAGTAAATCGATATAAAACGTATACTATATTTTGACCCGTACACGCAATCTCTATTCTAATCTCGATGTAAATCCCACATGATTCGTGTATATACGTTATTATTATTACAGTTCTAGGCTAAATAAATACTGTTACAACTGCTACTACTAGTTCTATAATTCTCTTTGAATTATATAGTTTCGTTATGTATACACAAAGAATTAGAAAACGTGCTCGTTAAAATCAGGAATCAGGAAGAAGAAGAAGAAGGCAATCGTATCACGTCGTTGTAAGATCTGCATTAATTCTACATCAATTCTATGTTGCACGTTAGGAAGACAAAAAAAAAAACTAATGATTCAAGGAAACGTGGTCTTTGTAATGTACAATTGCACAATGCGCATAGCATTTTTTATGCGGAAAACTATGCGGTAAAATCAAATGACTTTTTTTTCTTTCTGGATTTACAACATTTCCGAGGTATGAAAAGATACGAGGAAAAAAAAAAAACAAGAACTTGGAATAATAATAGCAGATACGAGCAAGAAGCGCATGGAATAACTGTATTTTAATCAACTCATTTGCATACGGTCACGTATAGTATAATGACAAACTAGTCTTATAACTCATAAGTGTACATAACTTTACCGTGGCAAATGCTATCGACTGATCCTCGACGATAACTTCCATCGCTATCCAACACGATCAGTGATGGGTAAGCGTGCTTGTTCGCACGCGTTTGTTGAATTTCCAACTGTTGCTGCCCCGATTCGTGGCTCGCGATAAAAAGAGAAAACCATAAACGCCACCGTCACCGTCAGACTTCTCGATCGTGTATACATACAACATACGTTTCCACGGTATTTTAATACTTTATCAAACATTATCAACGCTTATCTCGAAGACCATTGAACTCTGATTTTATCGTAAAAGGATTTCTACGTAGCACGCGGACATTAACTTCAAAGAGTATAGAAAAAACAAAAAAAAAAAAAAAAAGAAAGAAAGAAAAGAAAAATTTTCTCGTTTCGATATAGATATCAAGGATAAATTCAGACACAATTCAATCATTAAATATTTTTATTTTTAAATGATAAAAATTTTCTCTCTTCTATTTACTTATATCCACATCTAGTTATCAAGAAATTTAAAAACTATCCAAATAATCCACTAAAAAATAAACTCATTTATTAATTCGAAACTTGTATACATTTTTTTAAAAATGAGATTCATCTCTTTCAAAATTATCTCATTATTTCATACTACCACACGCTCAACCGAATATCCCACGATATATCCACGTAAAATCTCGGTACCTTAGTTTTTCCCGATTGGAATTTACATCACGTACGAACCGAGTTGGGTCTAGGATATTAGGGATAAGAGGAAGCCGCTCCTATTATTAAGAAAAAAAAAATGGAACAACCTCCTTCGGGAGGTTGGCGAGCCATCTTTTCGAACGAGCGAGTTACCAGAAATCTGTGAATGCCGAAGCTGGACACGGGGCACAAACGTCTCTCCGCCATCCCACCGACCATCTGCCCCCGGTCATTCTCCTACCTGAAACTTCTGTTCACCTGGCGTCCCTTCCACCTACCCCCCGTGTTACTTTCGTTTATCTTATTTTTCGGACCATTCAACAGCCTCTCCGCCAACTACTGCCACCGGTTCTTTGTGAGAGAAGTGGCTGCTGCCTCCGCGAGATACCGTGCCCTCTACCGCATATTTTTCTCAATGGAATTTGCCAACAGCTGGAAGCGGAAGAAACGGATCCTTCCTCCTCGTCGATCCCGCGTACTTATGCAAAACGTGACGTTTAATTAAACAAGTCGGACCCATGATGAGATGAACGCTTCGAATGATATAGTTCGAGAGACTAGGAGAAAACGAATGCATTTTGCTTTCTAGAATCCAGATAAATACTCGGAGAGATTTCAAAGAAATAAATAATAATGGGAGGAATTTAATGGGGAAAAAGTGTGTACGAATACGTTGTCAAAATAAATATAGAAAACGATACGCGTGTGATACGATCGGTAAATTTAAACGATTTCCTCTTATTGCAAAGAATCGTATACACCAATGATAAACTAAACGTGTTTCAAATAATCGAACGGTTTATTGGGAAAAGTACGTATTGTCGTCTGATAAATCAATATTTGGTATTGATAATGTTTCTTTTCAAATTTTTCTTCATACAGAATTTCCTCGAAATTTAAATAGGCAGATATATATCGTCACCTTTTAATACCTTTCCCTCCGCTCCCCGAGCTCTCCAATTAATCGACCGTTCGCTCGTACAACTTCATTGCTTGTTTCAATGGTATCCGACACTCGGGAATCGCAAAGTGAACTATGCTGTTCCTACGGTAAACTCCATTTCTCGCGCGTTCGCCGCGTAAATAAATGCATACCGATCGAGCATTAAATGCACACGCTCGAATATGCACAGGAATGTAGTTTACGGGGAATGGTAATGAAACAATTAACTAACATTGCTGGCAACGTCTGGCCCCCAAGGAGAATCGAATGGATAATTCAACGTTACGAATCCCAGATGGTTTGAAAGAGCGAAACATCGCGTGGCTATTTATCGTACGTACGGCCGATTTATCGAATCGTATCGTACGTAAGCTCTTATGAATGTTGGTTCGTTAGACGAATCGAAATACACGATATATCTCTACTACCGATTTCTAACTTCTGTTCGTTAAGTGAAAAAAACTCGAACTCGTCAGACGTCCCGGGAAAACTTATTTCACGCGCGTCGAATTCTATCGCGTGGAACAGAAAACGTGTAACGTTAAGTAAAAATTGTTTCAAAAATTGATAATTCAACATCTTGTGCGATTAATCATTGCATATCAGGAAAATCTGGTAGATTTTAATATTATTTTAATATTTTAATATTATAAGAGAAGAAAATTTGTGCCGATGTTTTATAAGATAACGGTATAAAGATATTTATCTATTAGAAATATTTTTTAAGATTTGATATCTCATTCTAACGTACGATTTTAATGTGGTTCCGTATATATTATGTGACTTTCCAGGAAGTACTGATTGGTAATTTTCAGGATTATAATTTAAAACGTTTTATGACAAGGTAATTACGTTCGAAGTATTGTAAGAAATTGTCTCTTCTTTCTTAGAAAGGAATCTATCTATTTTTATGGTGAAACTTAGCACATGTTTGATTATAAATGGTACAAGTTATCATCATAAATCACTCAAGATAACATTATATCTATTGCTTAGATGTAGTATTTCTTATAAAATATCCAATGATTGTAATTATTGTCTCGTTATTAATGTTCTAAAATAATATTCAAACTAATTTTGAATCTTATCAATTGATTTTTTTTTTTTTTGTAAGACAATTTATTTCAATACTACACAGCTGGTGTAGATCTTGAATTAAATTAAACCGCGTGGTGAGTAATGTATAGACGAAATTAAATTGGAGAGCTCTATTATCACGTGTTTTATTTATCCGATCATTGAATGAAGGAATTATTTTTTAAATAAACATCTCTAGAACGAAATATTGAAGTACTCGATTGTATTAACATTGTGAATTGAAATGTTTATTAAATAACTCTATATTTCTCGTTAAACTGACGCACTAGGAAGAGTAATTAAGCTTTTTTTAAGACAGAGTAATTGTTCCTTCCGCAATGAACGATTACTGGACTCAGTGGTCGATGCTGCCCACAATGGTAACTATTGCTGCAATTGCTTATACGGAGCGGATGATGAGGTAATTGTTAGCCGTGATGCATGCAAAATTATCATGCGAGTGGATTAGATCCTGTGAAGACCTTAAGGTCTTCTAATCACCTACGCTAAAGCGAAAGCTTTTGCTTGCAGGCGTTAAATCTAAATTTGATTAACTTAATTGAATCTTTGAATAGATAGTACATGCATGTTCACCGCATGAAATAACGAAGACACGTGATAAACGTATTTTTAATCAGGTTTTAACAAAAAAAAAAAAAAAGAAATTTTAACAAAATCGAAAAAAAATAAAAAAGAGAAATATCTTCAATATGATCATCATATCAAATCAATTATCTTTTCTGCGATTTTCTATGATTTCGAATGATTTATCGCGATATCGCATGACGATGTTATCTTAAAATTCAAATTGAAAAAGATAACTCACCCTGCGCGGTAAGAAGTAATACCAAAAGACCAACAAATCGCAGCGACAGCATGTCGTCTTTGTTTCGAAAGCACTGTCAACAAACGACACAATTGGCACTATAGTTGTCGTTGGATTTGAAACTTTATTTTCAGCTTGGAGAACGTGGTTATAGAATTGGACGGTAATTTCACGATTTCGATATAATAATTCGATTGAATTAAGAACCGAACGTATCCACCGATACGAGGTGGATACCGAATACAAACTGAGAGAACAAGCGCGCGTGGTATCCGAAGAGCGGCGACGGAACCGGGCCCCCGGCTTTTTACGGGACTGCGCCGACCGGTTGCGCATTGAACGAACTCGACACGCGCCTGAATTTCTATTGGAATATACTTACACACCTACGATATATATTTGTGTAAAGGTGCCGACTATTCTATACAAACGCGTAACTATACGAAAATGAATATATATTCGATAGTTCAATGTCGCATAAACGTTGCACGAATTTATATCCGTTTTTTAAATAAAATTGTACTTTCATTTATAACTATTCCAATTTTTTTAAATAATTTTGATTTATATTACGTGTATTTGCTCTCAATGATTAACAACGAGAACGTATAACTATTATTTTCGAATAAAAATTTAATTTTTATTAAAAACATAATAATAAAAATATTTTTAATTTATTATAATCATATCATATAAAATATGATTTTATAATGATTAGTTAAGACATAGTTAGGACAATAAGAATTATGTCAAATGAAAACAGGAAAAAAGCAAATATTTATAGGAAATCGCAGCTAAGCATAAATCAATTTGCACAGAAAGATAAAAGGAGAAATACATATCGAATATCGAATTTATATGTGTACAAAGTTTTCTGAACGCATAAAATATAAGCTCACACATACATATGTACGCGCGTGAGAAGCATGTATTTGCACGATACTTTCGTCGTTCGCTTACCTCTTTCGATTCATCCATTCACTTTGTCATTGTGCATAAGACGAAAGCCAAAGAGCATTCACTTTACATTCTTTTTCTTCTCTAAACAAATTAAAAATAACATTCATAGAATATATTTTATTTTAGAATACTTTTGATTAAATAATGTCAAGTTAATATCACAGGAAAATTGTAAAATACATTAAATTTAGCAATTTGAATAAAATAACACAATGAATTTATATGTAAATGTAAATTCGTAGAAAAAATGAATAATATTGTAATTATGAGAATGAAATATAAAAATATATAATTCGTAATAACATTAAGTATATTATCATATAAATGATTCATACTTTTACAAAAAATGGTGATGATGTCATTTTATGAAATATATTACAGGTTATATCTATAGGTATTTTAAACATTGTTAATAAATATGTTTATTTTAAGAAAAATTGTAGTTTTTTCTTAATACATTTAATTCTTTTAAATATAAATAAACAATAAATTTTGATTTTTTCATAATATGTAAAATAATATGATGGATATATAATAGTATTTTTAAAACAAATAATCATTAATTTTTAAATGAACTTTGCATTTATTTTTATGCTTTAATTAAATTTCACTTAAAAAATTTTAAAACAATTTCACTTTTAAACACTTTAAACAAACGTAACAATAAAAAACAAATTAAATTTTTGATAATGCAAATAAAAAAATATTTGAATTTTATATCTATTAGTTTCGACAAAAGACTAACATTTTCATTTCCCGTGATAATAAACAAAGACCTTATTTTATTTCATATATGCGATATTCTTTTTTTAGTAGAAAACAACTATAAATTTATATATAATATTTATTTTTAAATACATACTTTATACAAAATATTTATATCAAAGATTTTAGAATCATAAAATAAATCTAAACTATTGAATTGTTTGATGTGAATTATAAGATAACCTACTATAATATTTTATTTTTCTTAAGTTCCTAGTATAGCCATCTCGTGATGAAATTGTAAAACTAAAATGTAAAATTTATATAACTATTCGTGATACGTGTTGCTAAGCGTATAAAAAATAAAATTTAATATTTGAAAATAAGAAAATATTTCTGTCAAGATTATTAATATATTAATATAAACTGAAAAATATGAAAAAAAGGAATCATAAATATTTTCCGGTGTAACCGGAACAGTGAAATTTCATTCACAAAAGATGTCATTTGATTGGTTATTTTTGAAACAGGTTAAAATCCCGCTAAGAAACTCCGATGCCTTTACGAACGCAAAGGGACAAAGGACGCTGTCGTACGCAAGCAGATGGACGCCATGTTCATTTGTCAACGGACGTCAAGGTGTGATCATCGGAAAGAGTAAGATTGCTTCAAAAAATATGAAGATATTAAGTGCTTTTATTGAATAATTCTACAAGTTAATGTGTATTTAGAACGATATGGCATCTTTGGAACTACAAGATCGGAAGCTAGAAGAATATGAAATGCAGCTGTTTAACTTTCATTCAAGATCCGTGTACGCTACTTGTAAGGCGCCGCCGTTTTGAGTTTCACTTGAATGCTTTTCAGATTTTATGGCATTCTTGTTGTGTACAACTATATATTCTAATCGTTGGACGGGTGCACTCTGGTATCATGTGGATTTGCTCATGACTAGAGTCACACTCGTCCATTGCTTGGAATACTTTCACCAGCCTTACGGACGAAGTTAATCACAAAGACGACTACGCTTCACTTCTTTTCTCATCTCATCTCATCTCATCTCATCTCTTCTGTTCTCTTTTCTTCTCTTCTTTTCTCTTACACTTCTCTCACAGATATCAAACAAATAAAATTTGACTTTGAATCAATATATGTATCAAATTTCTATTGCATTTCTTTCTTTTATTTTTATGTGTATTTCTATCATTCAAAAGCCTGAATTAAACTGAAAAATATATATAAATAAATAATATAAAAAAAATTATATTTGATAAATATTTATTTTTAAAGCTTTAATAATGGATTTATAAATTTTTTTATTGCTTTTAACTCTTTAGTAATATACTATTAAAAATAGGATATAATAATAGCACAAGTTATACATTCCTTTTTTTTTTTATAGTGAAATATATTGTGAATGAAAGGATTCATTGTACAATTAAGAAGATGTGTGAGACAATTGAAAAAGCATACAAACTAAATTCTGAAGATTTAGCAGTACTTAAAACAAATCAAAAACATTTAGAAAAAGCATATTGTAAAGGAGCAATACCACACTTAACAAATATTAAGGTAATTACATTAGCTAGTAATGTAAACAAAAAAATAAAGATTTCTTTTTTCTCTTAGTATTTGTGAAAAAGTATAACTACTTTGTTTAGACTATTGTAAAAAAATGTATTGCTGTTCCAAGTAATGTTTTGTTAGAAGAGGACAAATGTCAAAGGATACAATATAATGACATAGAATTTAAAAACATAAATCAAAAATTAGAAGATTTACAACAAAGAGCAAAAAGAGTATGTATTTAAGTTTTTCTATTGACTATTTTAAGTAATAATAAAATCTAATTTTATATGAACATTATAGGCTACTATTTTAAATTCAATATTGAAAGAAGAACTGCAGTTTTTAGAAGAATTTCCAATCACTGAAGAAAATATAAATAAAATGTGTTATGTAACAGAAAATATTGTACAAAATCCTAATGTAATTGAAAAAATGTATCAGTTAGTGGAAGATTATAATCAATTTTCCACAAGTCTTAAAACGACATCAATAACAACAAAAATGAAGTATAATACAGTAGATAATCTTAAATGCAAAGAATTTGATGTAAATAATTTATAAGTTTAAAATTTTTTTATAATTTAAAATAGTATAATTCTATTTGTTTAAAATAATTTTTTCTACAAATAAACTAAATGTTAAAATTTTTAAATTGATTTTATGTTATATTTTCATTGTATGAATATATTTCTAAGAGATTATTCTTATCATAAAATTAAAAATTCATATCACTTGAACAAATATCTAGCAAACTGTACATATTTTTTCTATTCGAACAAATTATTTATATTTCATATGTTAATTTTATTATACTTATTTTAATTAACATAAAAGGAAATTTCTAAATATTTAATAGTAATCAATATGTGATAATTAAAAAATAATAAATTAACATAATTAATAGTCCGATAAAAAAAAATTATATAACAATTGATATTCTACATGAAATTTATTGAAACTATGAAAATTTTAATATAAAAAAAAACGAAAATAAAGTGGAAAAATAAAAATCAAAAATTCATAAAAATTTAATAATTATAAATACACTGTTAATCTGTTATTGACTCGTTCACTTCCAGCATAAGGTCACTTACACGACTCCCTTCGTCTTAGATATATAAAGAGGGGATATGTTAGACCAGCTACCCACAGTTAGGTTTCTTTCACATAAGCAATGAAAGTTTATACATATACGACGAGACAGGAATCTTTTTTGTGTCCACTGTGTCTTGCGTGCTTGTGTATAAACTGGCATTCCCGGTTTTAGCTTCTTTCTTTCTGTTTGCCTTGATAGTCTTATATTCAGCTTCCGCGCATTTGTGTAGAAAAGACCTTAGAGTATACTAGCGCTTCTCCATAAAGCATTTCGGTAGTGGGGCTCGTCATAGTGGGGATGTTCACTTCGGCGCTTAACAAAGATTTACAAGCATTATTCCGGCACGTTTTGCTGAATATAATTGAATGAAATAAGGTGTGCTATTATAACTTTTTATTTCTTATTAAAATAATTTTTATTATTACATTAACATCAATGTTAACATTAAGGAAAAATAATATTAATAAATTAATTTAAAATGATTCTTAATGATTAAAATAAAAAACATGTTTTTAACAAAGGTTATATATAAAATAATTTCAAATTTTTCCAAAATTATTAATATAATTATTAATATAATTAATATTTTGAAAATAAAATAAAAATAGAAATGAAAATATTAAAAAAATAATTTATATATTTGAAATTGATTTTAATTTTATAATATTTAAAATTATGATATATTGAAAATGATATATATATATTAAAACATATTAAAATATATACTAAATTTTCATTTATAATTAAACATTATAAAAATAAAAAAAAATAAATTATGTAATAAATATTAATATATAAATATTATTAATTGTATCAATTTTAAAACTAAAAATTATAATTTTTTTTTTAATTATTTAAATGTTAAATTATATATTATAATTATATATTAACTTGATAAAAAAAAATTGATCATTTTTTGATTTGAATTGATTAATGTTATTATAGTGTATGAAATATACATAATAAATGATAACATATATGAATATACTATTTACGTTTTTATAAAATATTAAAGAAAAATCAAATTGAGAAAGTAACAATCAATTGTTTTAATGTTTCATTTAAATTTCTCGGTAACAAGATTTAAATTTGTATTTGTAGTATTATATATGCATATATGTATACACAGATATATATGCTGAATTATTTTATACTTATATAAAATTTGTGCTTATTTTTTTAAAAACATTTTATATTGTATATATAATTATATGGAAAATATATTAAATATTTAAAAATTTCTAATATTTTTTTTTAGTGAAAAATCGATTGTATGAAAAATGAACCAATGATATCGAGGTATACTTGCTTTTCGTGTAGCATGTTGAATAGTTCCTTATAAATGATAGGGTTAGAGTAGGGATGAAAATATATACAGAAATTGGTGTCCGGTATTCCATGTTAATGAATGTGTTGTCATATGTTTGATAATACTTTTAAACATCAAAATAACTTTAAAGTCTTAAATTAACCGTAATATTGTTAGGTGAAATAATTGTTCCACAGTAAAAAAAAATTTACATTCAATCATCTACATTAGGTTTGTATAATCTATATCTTTATAATAAATACTGATTTTTTCTAACTCATAATTAGATAATTCAAAAAATATTTATTTAATAATAATATTATTATTGACACAGTTTTATAGTTCTTATTCATATAAAATAATTAATTTCATTAAAAGAAATTTATACAGAATATAATTTTTTCAATATATTGTTATGTACAGCTAGATAATCAGGATGTCAGAACAATTTGTTGGTTGTACAGTTTCCGTAAAGTGTATTGAAGAAGTTGGAACTTACCAAGGACAAATATTGGATTTAAATAAAGATTGTATTATACTTTCAAAAGCTTTCTGTAATGGGGTACCTCATAGTTCACCTATAGTAGTATTATGGTACTTTAATAATGATAATTTAATTTAATAATTCCTTATTTTTATTGATAATTTTCATAAAAGTACAAATATTAAATAAAATATATATATTTAAAAATTGTTATTTTTAAATTTTTTTGCAAAAAATATATTAATTTTATTTTTAAATTTTAGTGCAAAGGATATATTAAATGTAGAATTTATATCAATTAATGAGACAGCACTCAATACAAATGATAACAATCAAGCACATAATAATGTAACTGTAAAAAGACCTATTGCTAAAAGAGCTGGTAGATCATTTTCAGAAAGTGTTTCATCTTCTGTTCAATCTACATCATCACAAACACAAACAAATGTTAAAAAACCAAATAGTTCTCAATCTATTATAGAACAATCTGCTAATGGAAAAATTCCATTAGGTATAATAATAAAACAAAGTTTTTTATATCGGATAAATATTAAATATTACTTTATAAAATATTAAATATTGATGTTGATTTATTCTTTCAGCTGAATCTGTTGATAAACCAATACAAAAAAAATTAAGTAATAGACAAAGAAATTTAGGACGCGATGAGGATACATTTGGTACTCAAATTGATCAATCGTTGAATCAAGATTTTGATTTTGAGAAGAATTTAGCTTTATTTGATAAAGAGGTTTGTGTTTTTTATTTTTCTCTTATTACTTGATTATCTCCTTAGAGTAATTTTAAAAGTTATGTACACTTAAATTAGTTAATTTTATAGGGCATGTGGCAGAAAATAAATTCTTTAAAACCTAGAAAACAAAGGCAAACAGGAAACTATAGGCATGATGAAAATATTATTGTTTCTGAACCTACAGATCTTAGACAAATAATGGTACCCAGTGCTGGTGAAATAGAATATGTAACAGACAATGGTTTAATAATTCCTAGTATAACACTTAATCTTCATCGTCAATTAATAGGAGCAGCAGATCGATTGGGGATTAGTTGGGAACGTAGAGTATGTAAAATAAAAATAAAAAAATATATATATAATATTTTTTGCCAAATGAAATTAATATAATATTAATATCAGGTAGAACTTCTTGGTCGCGCTGGTGCAGAAATTACATTACAATTATTAGGAGGAAGTCATCGATTAGATCCAAATAATGCACATCAATGGCCAACAGTTATTGCTCTTTGTGGACCTCATCGTTCTGGTGCTGCAGGTGTTAACTGTGCTAGACAATTATCTAGTCATGGTATTAAGACAATAGTTTTTGTAGAAAATTCTGAAGATGTTTTTCTTCTACAAGAATTGTCTTTATATAAATTAACTGGAAACAAAGTAGAAACGAAATTTAAAAATTTACCATCAATGGTGGATTTAATAATTGTAGCTCTTTGTGATGAAAATTCACCAAGAATGATTACACCTATAGCAAAGTGGGCAAGTAATAATAGGGCACCTATTTTAGCTATTGAACCTCCAGCTACAGGAACACCTGGTATTCTTAGCAAATGTAGTCTGCTTGGTGGATTACCATTATCTCATAGTGTTGACAATGGCAAATTATATTTATGTAATCTTGCACTGCCAAACGAAGTATATGCAGATGTTGGTATAACGTATAGGTCCCCTTTTGGACCAAAATTTGTCATTCCTTTGCATTCCAATAATTCTTAGCAAATTTATAAAAAGGATCATGCTTCTAATAAAATGTTATAATTTAGCATACTTTTACTTTTATGCCTTGCTATATAATAAATTTATACTTACATCGCAAGAATATTGTCCGAATTTAATAATAAAAATCATGTGTAATGTAGCATTTAATGTTATACAGTTGAAATGTAGTTTGTGTATAAACTGTTATAATTTGGTGTGCAAAGGCAATTGTGTGTAATATTCTTTTAAATGTATAAGTATACAATGTATACATGAGATTAATATATAAAAGATGAATATACAATGTTTGGTTTTGTAAGTTACATAAAAAAATAAATGCTTTTAAATAAAAATAATAAATTCAAGTAAAACTAGTACATCAATTTTTAAACATTATAAAAGTATAGAAACTCTACAAATACTACAAGTATTTGTTACGCAAATGTATTGTTTCGTATTACAAGTATATAATAACAACATAATATTATGATAAGTAAATATTCCTTTTACAAAAAAATATAATCATACAAAAAATTTTTTACATAAGCGTATCTCATTTTCATTTATAATTATAGGAAAATATTAATATTGATATCTTTAAGAAATATTAATGACATAATTTAATAAAATAAATTTATACTTAATTAAATTCGAAATGAAAACATTATCATTCATCATACAATAAGAATAAAATTATTTTTCACATGTGATATATTATCATATAAAATTTGTAAAATATTTACTTATAAATTATTCATTTTAAATTTTGAAATATTGCTAAAGGTTGCAGTTAATAATAATTCAAGAAACAAGATTCAAATATCTGTTAATTACGCGATTTCCATTTTAGCTTTTATTTATTTTCGTAAATTGAATAATTTAAAAAATACTTCTATTGCTATAAAAAATTTGCTTGTAGCCATTTTTTATTGAATAATGTATGAAATATAGTAGTATAATTCAAATAATTAGTTGTAATAAATGATTGTATAAGATTTATTTTAATTATAGATAGCTTAAGTAAGTTATTTATATTGTATATGTGTAAATATATATTTATATATTTTGGAATTTAGTCTTGAACTTTAATGATGATAAATTCTATAAATAATACTAATTTTTTTTACAATTATATAAAACATTTTAATACACTTAAAAATATAATATAAAAAAAATATAAGTGCACTAATTAAATAATAAATCTAAATATAATAAATATTATAAATGCTAATGTAATATATGATATTTGATCTAAAAATTAGATAAATTTTTCTTATAATTATAGATAGAAAATAAGTGATAAAGGAATTAAAATTTTGATATTAATAGCAATTTATATATATTTTATTTTTTTTTTATAGTTTTTGTTATAGTTTTCGAAACTTTTACAATAATTATATTAGTGAAATAATATGTTTCAGAAGTGTCAAGAATGATAATTAATAATAATAGAATTATAATTAAATGATTAACTGATTTTTAAGTAATTAATGATATTTTTTCTATTTATTGTCAAGTTTTATAAATGCAGTGCAAATTAACATCCATTACAAAAATATTTTAATACTTCTTAATAGTTCAGCTCAAATAAAAATTTATATATTTTTTTCATATATTTTCTAATAATATTCATAAACTTGTACTATCAATGTTATATATAAAGTACTACAATACAATAATTTTTTATATGAAAAATTAAAAAATATTTTACAGAATTAGTAATATTTTAAGTAAGTTTGCAATAGTATTGATAAATTAATATTTTTTAACAATAAAAAATTACTTATTATTAAAGTTATTATTTCTAATAAACTTTAGGAGCTGAACCATCACATATTTATTTCAAAAAAGTTTTGTTTCCACGATTCTAAAATTAGACACATTACTTAATAATAAATTTTATTATCTTTGAAAAATCTTAATGATGTACATAGAATAGAATTGTGGAAACAATTATTAAGATCTAATTTTGTCATTTTATCAGTCATAAGATCTATTTTCAACTATTAAATTTTTTTAATACTTATTTATAGAGTCATAATATGAATAACCATGACTTCAATTACAAGTATCTTATTAAAAATACTTCGTATATAATATTTACATTCGTATTTGTCATTTTAAAAGAAATAATGATTTATGAGATTTGATCACCTCTTGAATTATGTGTTGTCTAAATCTGTATTTAATCACACTAATTGAATACTAAATTAAAAATTGACCTCACATGTTGATTAAGGCATTTTTTATCTTAAATTCATTTCTATTTTACTTTATAATATATCTAAAAAAAATATAATTACTACATTTATTACGCAATGTGTACATCTTTATTTCTAAAATTCATTTTATAAATTGTATTTATTTAAAAAATTAGGAAATGATGATATTTTAACATCTATTTTAACATCTAAAAAATAATAGGGCAATATCTTAGCACCTTGCAACAGTTATAAAAATTCTTACATGTATTCAGCCTCAGTCAAAATATCACTAAAATACATGACACGTTTTTCCCATTATTTTTTAGTTGAAACATTATTTTTATAGTTTATATGATTTTTAACTGTACAAGGATAAAAACTCAAAAACGCGTCATTAAAACTTATATGCAAAATATTTTTTCTTTATATATGATAAATAAGTAATTTAATAATTTAAAAATAATATAGAAAATACCACTATACATATTAAAATTTTTTAACTTATAAATTATAATTTAAGTAAATCAATAAGAAGCTGCTAAGAAGTGATGTTTTTCATATTATATAACCAAGCTTCATTATGAAGTCTAAAATTTTATTTAAAAATGAAAAATATTTTTTTATACTTTATTACTTTCTTTTCAATATGAATTTATTATATATATAAAACTATTAATGACAAAACGATTTTCTTATAAACGTTTCATCAATAAATATAAATTTTAATTAATTATGATTAAATATATTATTTATTTATATCTTATTAATTGATTTCTATATTTCTATGTTATCAAATATTTAAACTATTGTATCACGTTGCTATTTAAAACGAAAAATGCATCTTAAGAGAAAATATTTTTTACACATTGTTTTCTTTGTAAATAACAGTAATTATGCTTTTGTAATTTAACAATTATAACTAATTAGCATTTTAAAAATGTTTTCTAGAATCATAGACAAATATATAGTATTTATTTATGCAATTTATTGTTAATTGTAGAGTCAGTATAGTGGAATTCGTATTATTTTTTAAAATGGCTTAGAATGCAACTTTGAATACAATGTCTAATATTTTAGTGTATATAACTTTTTTCTAGATTATTTTGCATTGAAATCTTCGATATTTTTCATTATATAAATATCAAAAAAACAATTCTCATAGTAATTATATTATACCTTATACATTTTCGTAAAAAACATACCAGCGTTGATTAGCTCTTATTGGGTTTTTCTAGGATGCTGGCGTAGGATTAGCAGTCGGTGGTACGGCATTCGACTGTTTCGCTCGTCTGCGTTTGTTTAATAACGCATTATTCGTATGATCTAATTGTTTTAAATTTGCTGTATCGTAGTCTACACGCATCGTAGCTAAAGACCGTGTCATTTCTTCTTGAACTTCTGGCCAAAGTTCTTCACCTTCCCGAAGTACACGACCAGTATGTAAAGGTGTAGGAGGTACTTCTGTATATTGCTATACATAAAAAATAAACAGTAGTATATATTTATTATTGTACAATATGTATATTAACTATATGCGATGATAAAAATATAATACTTACAGCAATCCATTTATTGCGCATAACTTCATCGATTTGAAGTCTTTGAGCTGGATCTGTACATAGCATACCTTTAATAAGATTTTTTGCTTCTGTGCTCACATTAGACCATTCAGGAGCTGGAAAATCATATTGACCTAATCGAATTCTTTTCTTCATTCCTGGTGAAATTGCTAGACCATGATTACTATAAAAAGGTGGAAAACCACATAATCTAAAATTATATAAAATATATAATATAAGTATTATAAATTTTTAAAATTTTTATTCTTTAATAATTAATGAAATATAAAACTTACAGTATATACATAATAACTCCAAGTGACCATATATCACAGCTTTTATCATATTTTTCTGGTCCCAAAACTTCAGGAGCTATAAAAATTTTGTTTTATTATTTACTTTATTATATATTTATAAAATTTAATTTGTAAAAAATATTATAATTTTAAAAATAACTTACAACTTACCAACATAATATGGTGTGTAACATGGAGTTTGTAATGTATCTTTCAAATGTGTTTCTTTTGCAAAACCAAAATCAGTAAGTTTTAATATTCCAGTACTATCTAAAAACAAAATATACAACATGTTAATAAATTTATATTAATAAATATTAAATCTTTTTTGTATAATTTATTTATCTTTTCTATACTTGTTTTTATTTACCAGGTTTAGAATACAATAAGTTTTCTGGTTTAAGATCCCTATGTGCAATATTCATGTCATGTAGATGCTTTACAGCAACACAAATTTCATACATTATTTGTGCAGCTTCTGTACAAAAATTGCATATAATTTTAAAATATTTATTATTTTTTACCAAATAATATATTAATTTATTTTACCTCTCTCTGTGAAAGCACCATCTTGCCTATCTTGTATTCTTTCAAACAATTCTCCTCCTTCCATGCTAAAAATATTTTAAATTTATGTTTAATTTTGATCTCTTAATTAATATTATTCAACTAATATTCATGCAATTTATACAATAAAATTGTTCAATTCAAATATTTAAATTCTCTATACTTACCATTCCATAACAACTAATAAACATTTATTTCCACTATATGTATTTTCATACACATCTTTGACTTGTACTATATGCTTGCAATTTGATGCTCTCCAATGTAATTCAACTTCTCTTCGTGCTTTTACACAGTCATATAATACCTATAAATATAAAATGTAATATTTACCAATATTCAATATTAATAATTTCATATATAATAATTATATATAGCTTATAGAAATTTTCTGAGATTATAGAATTAATATTGAAGCTTGAATGAAATAAAATAAGTTAGATCAAAATGAAGAAATATTAATATACGATAATTGATATACGACTTGCAATATTAAATAAGCGTTATTCAATTTTTAGACAGCAAGAATATGCGAACATATAAATTTTAAATATCTCTTCGAAAAATGTTCATAAGAATCCTGTATATCCGCTTTAAAACGTTCTGGTGAATGACCTAAAAACAGCTGACGTCGCCGTTAAATCGATAAAACGTATTACATTTTATAGTGCTTTGCGACCTAACATTCTTGACTTAAGATATCATAGCACATAATCGATGAATTGTAATATTTGAAATATTCTAATTATAATTTGTTGAAATTGATTTTAATTTTTATTAAATTCAAAAATACAATTAAATATAATGTCATTCAAACTTATTTATTAAAAATATATATCAAGAATTGGTAAGATGAATAAAAAGATTATTTAATACACTAAAATTGCTATTGATATTATTTTGCTATTTGATAATTCAAATGTCTTTTATTTCAGTAACTTTAATCAAATATATTAGAATTGAATATTTGAATAATATATTTTTCAATAATCTCTTTCTTTAATCGTAATTTATAATTTTTACATTTTATCTTTATATAAATTATTTACAATATTTATATTATTTAATAACCATAAACGAAATACAAGTCAAAAGATCATAACATCTGTTTATAATTATAATATATGAGAATATTATGAAAAATGTAAAGTAAAAATAGGAAGGAAAAAATATGATTAAATATGATTAATTTTTAGATTAGTAATTGATATATTGAGTATTCTAAAAATATTCAAATGCAATTAAAATAGATTCGACGCAAAAATTTAAATCAATTTCAAATAGAAATCATTATGAAAAAAAGCGTTTGAAATGTTGAAAAAGATAATTTTCACATGTAATATGAAATTGTGAAAATTCATTACACAAGAAGATATATTTATTTTCAGTATATAAAAATTGTTATCCAATAAATAAATTTATGTGAAAATTTTTTAAATCCACAAAATTTTTATTTTTTTATTTCTTAATTTTTTAATTTATAAATTTTCAACTTTTTTCAAATTTAAAATTTTAAAAAAAATCTGACAAATCTATTGTTTTGCAAGTAAATGAACATTTTAAAATTTCACACAATGCAATAGCTAACAAGGTTCAATTTACATGATTTTTCACGATTGTTTGTCATGCTTCTTAAATGAAAATACATGGTCATGTATTCCAAACAATTGACGTTTTGTGATAATGTGATTAGCGTTAGCACAAAATAAAATGTTCATTATGATAACAAATAGCAATTACATAAATGAAATATTGGAATTATCGTTAATAAATCGCGATCAGATTGTATTCAATTCAAACCAAAATATTTTACGCGAAAAAAAAATGCATAACATAAACTAACCCATTTCTGATATAAACGTGTTCGAAAATTTACAATTATTTTGTTTTTTATTCTTCTTTAATTATGCACACTGTATATATATATATATTTTTTTTAATGATAGAAATAATATAATTAATTTAAAATAATTCTATTATTTTATTATTTTTAATATTATTTATAACTAATTTAAAATAATTTTATTATTTTTTTTCATGTAATGTTTTTTAATCATGAATTTATATGTAGAGAATTCTTTCTTTTTTCTCTTTCTTTTCAAAAAAAAAATTTCAAAGAAATTTTTTATGAAAAGAAATTGAAATAGTATTTCCATCACTAATTTCTTATTATTGAGATTCTACTGACGAATCGCAGAAATATACAAACCATTCCTTTGCACAGAACTCAAGGTATGAAAATTCAAGTATTCTTAGAATGCTACGTCTTGTCAAGACAAAGAAATATAAAACATGATGACAATGATACAATTTGTTCTTGAAACAAAAAGATAATCAAATAATTCGTAACAAAATTAGATTGTATATTAGTCTTTGCTACGATCTTTCAAATATTGACTTTTTTTTTAATAATTGCATAAAATTATTTAAAAAAATATGATCTTCTCTTAGAGCATTATTTTTTAGAATAAATATAATTCTTTTTATAATATTCTATAATTCTAAAATTATCATTAATAATTAATTTTTATCAATAATTAAGCAAAATTGCAGAATAATTTATATATTATATATTATTTAATATATTAATATATTAATGTTGTGTTGAATGAATTCGAAAATTATTATAAAGAGATAATCATGAATTGGAATTGTATCGAATAATAAAATTATCGTTATTGCTGTCAGATTTTAATTTCTTTATGGTTGTGCCATGTAATTTAAAGTTTTGCTGACTTATAAATATATATATGGCTCGTTTCCAATCATTCGATTTTAATAATTAGACATAATAAATTGTAATTAAATTTTGCCTTGCTTGCAAATTATACGTTTAAAATTAAATGTTTTGCAAAAATTTTTTCTTCAATGAAATCTTTCTCGTTAATTTCATTTATATAAAGCATACGCATTCGATCGATATGGAAATAAGCTGTAATTAATTAATATACGATTAACAAGAAATGACAAGAATGATTCATTCTTATATCATTACGAATCATTTTCGTATGATACTTTACTGTTACATAAGGAAAAAAAAAAACCTAATTTTGCAATAATAAATGACAATCTATTTATGATAAGAAAGATATTATTAATTCTTTGATTTATTATTATTATTATTACAAATTAATATCTTCAATTATATTAATAATTTTATTGTAAATAAGTATGAAAAATCGATACTATATGAACAATGATATATTTTCATAGAATATATTTTCATTGAAATTTATCAAATTATTCTTATTTATACAGATATATGTCTTCACTCACAAATATATATATATTTTTTTTCGTACACAAAAAGGAAAAATTATAATTTAAAAAAGATAAATTAACATATATATAAATTTATAAAAAATAATGAATAATATAAATATAAAAAAAAAAAGAATTTCAATATTATAATATAAATAAAATTTTAATATGAATAAGTAGTTTAATTTAAATAAAATTTTACACAATTACATTATTTATAATTTGCATTACTAAATATATAAAAAAAAGATAAAATTATTATAATTTTAAACTTATTATTAATTCTATGATTCACATAATTTAAAAATTATAATGACATTTCATGTTTCTCATGGAATGTTGTATAAGAATAAAGATCCAAGAAATCAATAACAAACCAACTGCGAAAAGATGAAAACATAAGAATCCGTAAAATTTTTCCAAAGTAATATAAAAAAAAAATAAGAGAGACAAACAGACTTCGATATACCGCATGGTCGGAATCGTCGAATGGGAAATCACCGAGTATAAATAGAGGATGACTCGTGGTCTGGACTCGCTTGGACATCGTTAGTCGATGATTATACTTTAGCACTGCTAGCTAGATATTGATACATCTCCGATCGATAGATCCCTCTAAATGCGTTAAGAGTAAGTACATTTTGCATCGAAGGCATCAGATTTCTTTACAGTATCCTTACACATATTCCAAAAAAATAACTAAATACGGAAAAATAACTAAGGACGGATGTGTCATGTTAAATTTAAAAATATAAAACATATTTTTTTATTTATACAAATTGTATAAATTGTATAAATTGAAATACTTGAAATTATATTATCATGTTTCGTTAAATCATGTATTAATTCGTTCGTTAATAATATTGCAAAAAGTAATGCAAAAATTAATAAATCTAATTTCTATCTACATATATCATTGTACATCATTGTTTTTGTTATCATATAATTGAACATATTTTATTATTCATGTATGAAATTTTAATTAAGTCTGTGATTTCATAGAATGAAAGAAGAAATAAAAGCTAAAAGATCCGATCAAATTTTATTGCACCATGTTTCGATATATCAAGAGAAATCGAGAAAAACATTATTTTAGTTTTTGTAAATGATTATTTTCATATTTATTTTTCATTGAAATTAAAACAAATTAAATTATGTTTCATTAACATTTCATTTTCTTGTACACATTGATAATTTCATAGAATTAATGAAAATTGATAAAAAAACGATTGATGCTGCAAAAGAATTGTTAATTGTTATCTCACCTTGAGCGCATATTTTTCCCTGGTATTTTTGTCATAACATTGAACAACTTTTCCGTTTATTCCAAGACCGAGCACGTGATTACTAATCTCATAGTCATCAATAATTGGTGTGATTTTTGGTAAACGGGTGTCGCATCTTGTTAGCGTATGTTCCATGGTTTTCCGTTTCGTTTCCACAGCCGAAACCTCTTTTTCCTTTGTCGATACCACGATTTCTGTTTCCGCTGCTCGTTTCCGTTTTCCTTTCTTATTCTCTTCGTTCTCTTCGCCAACAGGTCTCTTGCACTTTCTAAAATGGTAATCGATTGTCAGTTACATTCTCATTCTACAGGAAAGAAATTCGTCTTTTTTTATATGTATGCATAAAAAACATAATTGTACCAACAATATAAAAAATATACGAAAAAAATTGAAGCACTTCATGAGAAATATGAAAAAGTACAATTTAAATGACATTAATAAAAGAAACTTTAGAATAATAGCATATTTCGTGTTGACACTTGTGAATACGTCACGCAAATGACATATATAGTAGGTAAAAAAAAATTCTCCAATAAAAAGCTAATTTATCGCTCGCATCGGTGTCTATTTTATCTTTAAGAGTTACCGACAGAACATGGTTTATACCCGTTCTGAAGTTAATTCTATTTGATATGATTCACGATATACTTATATTAAAGAATTATATATTTTATATTACATTATATATTATAAATTTTTATAATTTTTTTATTTAAAACTGATTCTATCATCAATTAATCAGAATACATTTCTTCTAATAGTTATTCCTATTGTGTATATTATCATATTATGATAGAAAATATTGATATTTAATTATTGTAAATATTATTTATATATAATTAATAAATTTTTATAAAATTATTTATCATAAACAGAATTAACATATAAATTATTATCAAAAAAGTATTATTATAAGATATTAGTTAATTGTTGAATTAATTTACTTTATTTTTAAGAAAAATTAGATAAACTGTTTCAATTATGTCTATTATATGTACATATATTATAAACTATATATATATATATGCGCACCTTTATGTATTACACAATCATTTAGCAGATTGCAACAAATTATATGTACATAATTCAATACATACAAATGCATTTTTAAATTATTAATCGATCGGGTATGTCAAATATAGTTTTAATGATATTGATAAACATAATAAAAAAACGAAAGGAATGATTGTTTAATAAATTAAAAATGAAAAAAATCAAAAAGTATTAAAATTCAATCGTTAAAAAATTGGGCGGAATTACTTATTACAAAGAAGTGCAAATTTTAAGTCAGCACGAGATTAAGTAACAATATGCAACTGTTATGATTGCAATCAATAAAAATGTATAACAATAATGATATATAATGTTTATCATTATATAATTAAAATAAGATTGTTTTATTAATAATTGCTTTATGAATCGATATTATTATTTAAATAATTTCCAAATATAGATAGATATCGAGAAAATAAAATATAATATGACAGAGACCTCCAAAATGTCCACTTCGTTGCCGATTTCGGCATTTGTGTAGCTTTTTAACGTTTCAAAAGATTTTTAATCGAATCGTTGAACGAAGATAGAAAACATCGTCTTCCAAAGAATTTTCAGAATAATACAGCCGGTAGTGGTGAGTTATGGATAAACTGTGCAAGTTCCGAGTCGTCGAATAAAATAAGAATTTGTTTCTAATTGTAACTCAAAACTCGATATCCAAATAATAATTGCACAGAGGAAGGCCAGCTGAAAACCGAAGATAAAAAAAACTAATCAAACTCATCCTCAATAATGAAATGATTGCCGATGAAAAGAAGCGTGCAAGTAAAAAAAAAGGCATTATAAAAAAGCAATTTTGCATATATGTAAGGAATAAACACGATGCGGTGCGTCTCAATGCGTCTAATGAGATGAATCGCATTTCTATTACGCAAATTATACTGCAAAGATTCGTTGCCAGAAACACAATGAGAGAAAAACAGAACATAAAGTGACTTGTCGAAGATCTATTTGCATAAACTCATATACATCGCCAAATTTGCCATTTATATCATATTCATTGGCTTATTACTTAAAATAGCGATTGCAATATGACATATGCAAACAAAATCATATATTAAAGATAAGACAAACTGAAATGCAAAAAAAAGAAAAAAAAAGAAACTCCTGCACTGTTATAAAAATAATCTTGCTTTAACATACCTGGTGACGTCTGCTTCTTCAAAAATAAATTTCCCGCCACGAAATAACGTATATTTTAAAAAAAGAACACCACTATTACAACATTTTATTTCACACTGTCATGAGAACACTTGATTATAATTTCTTCTGAATTGTTTTTATTACAATACATTATAATATTGATCCACAATTCATATATCAATTCAAAAATATTAAAAAATAATGTTCACAAATATTTAGAATACTTTTTTTTTGTATTTCGTAAAAAAAGAAAAGTTCCTTGGAGGTGTGTCACACAAGTTCCAAACAGTTAAAGATAGGAATACCTATCGTAGAATAGCCGGTTTTATCACGAATATTAAATTATTTGATGACGCCGTTGGAAACCGATTTTTCTAATTATTGAAAAACTTAGTAATAGGAAACTTAACCAAACACGATCTTGTCTACACCCATACTTTCCGTGCATTCGACCAACTACTACTGAACTCAACGTCTCATACGAACTCAAGTCTATACAATGACTCTGACTTCATACGAAAACCAATTCACAAACACTAATGGATAAAATGGCTATGGCGGCAAAGCGCCTCTACAAGCAATCTTAGGATGTGACTCACTGCACAGGGACGACTCTATATTAAAACTTATTGGGTTCCTGCATCAATTTGCACCCCGTCTATGTTTTTTATCATATGTTTTTACAAAAATTTATTTTTTAAAATTATTTTTGGAAATGAATCAATAATAACGAATCTTGAAGCTATCAATTATTTATTTTTTTTTCGATTAGATTATTTTGCATTATGCTACAGTTAAACATATACGTATATACATAATTTTCGATGTAATAAAACAAGGAGCAACAATCTTCAGGTCTCTCTTGCATTTTTTTTATCACTTAGATAATTACAAAATTATATTTAATATAAATATTTTTTTTCATACAGGCACATTTTATATTTATATACAAGTTTCTCTCATCTTATAATTTCTAATCATATTGTCCATTAAGTATTTTATTAAATAAAAATTGTATCACATAAAGTATATATGAATGTCAAAAGATAATTTTCATTTATAATTTGTCATTGGAATTTGTCATTATAATATTTGTTATTATACATGTGTTGCAACAGAGTTACATGAGCCCTTTTATAACATACAAATAACAATTCCATGTATTACAATCAATATGATTTATGATATTATAAAATTAAATTATTACTAACATCATTATTGGTACGTGCACTATAGTGCCATTTTATGAAAACTTTATTATTTTTATTAAAATATATAATATACTATTGGTAATTACTAAAAATTATATCAGATTTTAATCAACAAGTATAATTTACAGGAATATCTGTAAAAAAACATATTGCGGTTTAATCTTTGGATTATCAAATTAGAGAAAATACTTATGTTTAACTAAATATTAAACATTGCTAGAAATATTATATATACATATTAATTATAAAAATGTTTAAGGAAATATTAATCATTTCATCAGCAAAACATTTTTATGAATATTAACAATTATGAATAGTTTAAAAATATTTAAATTCGTTACAATAAAACTCGGAAAAAATATCGATATTCTACATGTTATTGATAACATTAAATATACAAACTTATCATCTAACAATACTACCATTAATTTAATATTTCTTAATTCTTAAATACAATGTATTTATAATCTATTTTTAATATTATATGAATATAATTAACAGCAAAATATAAAATGTACATTTCATTAAGTAAACACATTCATATTTATTTCTTCATTTCTTTTAACTTGATAAGTATTTTTACTTCTCATAAAAAATATATTTTTATTGTCTGTTTTAAAGTAAATAATACTCGATATATAACATAAATTCAATTTAAAAAAGAATTTTGTTTATTTTTCATAATAAAAAAAGAATAAATAGAATTATTAATTATTTTTTCGTTTATATTTTACTCGAATTAGTCCTATTGCACGATTTATATTTTTTAAGGCAATTCAAATATAATGTTTTCTTTCAATTATAATGTATTCTTCTTTTTGCTTAATTTATAATAAAATTGATCTACAAATATATTAGTTTTTATGAATAATTTCTAGAAAAAATAAGTAAAACGTGCATTTGCCGACTCATTCTTAATAAAATTACGATATCATTAGAATTATAATGAAACGCAAAATGTTTGTACTAATACTTATATTGAATTATGTTCTCTTTTACTAAAACATTATTAAATTTTTAGTCGGACGGAAAATGCAGCAATTATAAAGAAATAATATAGCTAACATTTTGATTTTCTTTCAAGATTTTAATATATATGTATGAAAAAATTTTTAGTAATTTTCTTACATAATATTTTTATATTTTTATACGAAAATAATTATAATACTTTAATTAAATGTTCTATTGATAAAATAAAAGATTACTAATTCGATCAAGGGCTATATTCTCTAATAATAATAAATTATAGATTATAATATATATTGCCCCATATATTTTTTTACATTAAGCCGATACAAAACTTTCCAGATACTTACTTTTTAGTTGAAAATTCAAAGCTAAAATTTTTTTCTCTTTTTTTCGATCAAATAATACTTTTCGAAGACGTAGCGTATGATATTATAATGCTGTTGTTGTTTTATAGTTTTTATTTTATAATATAATTTTGATGAAAAAATAATTATATATTAATTATAACAATAATAATAATATAATTTTAATTACAAATATGTTAATGTTTTTTACCAATATTTTATGTAATACGGAAAGTTTTGTACAATAGGCAGTGAATTTGTAATAAATAAAAAAAAAATGTAAAACATCAAAATATTGTAAACTAGATATTATATCTGATTAACAAGTTAAAATACATCTACCCTGAGTTTTAACAGCTTTATTTAAGAAGAGGCAAGTGAATTATTGTTCATTATGAAAAATAAAAATCAATATTGCCTCATTACATTTTTTTCTTTCCTTTTCTCAATATATAAAAATATTCAAGGCATTCAATGTTAACATATATGTATATATTTATAGATATCACTTTTTTAGGTCACGACTTACATTGCACAACTAGTAATTGTCACCCCATATGACTTTCAGGCTCAGCTTTGTAATCTTGCATAGTAAGAATATAAGGCACGACACTAGCTACGCTTACCCTACCAATAAGGCCTGCAAAAAACAAATCTTCCAAGACTCTAGGGTTAATCGAACGAAGTGGTGCGAGCCTTAAAAGAAGGCGAGGTAGCCTGTTAGATCCTACACGTTGTTGTAATTCAGTCCATGCTGCCTCTTGTAAAACTTCAACTTTTTTACGCCAAACACCGGCTAAGACATTGTCTAAAAAAATATCATTTTCAAAATAAAGAACTTTTATATAAATAAATAACTAACATTTTACTTACCAGCACTAAAAAGCGTTAAAGCTTTAAGATACGCATATTCGACAGAATCCACTTGCAATTTATGAAGTGAACTAACACAATCTTGTAGTCTACATATATGTTCTGTGACAGACTTTACTTTACTAGCTGTAATTTTTTCCTGTGCAATACTAGCTTGCAAATGATTTATTATTGATGTTAAAATACTTGGAAGAGATAAAGTGTACGCACATTGTGCAAGGCCTAATGTAAAAAGCTGTCCCCAGGAACTGCGCACTAATGTTGTTTGAACTTCAGATCTATAAATATTAATAATTTCAATATTCGCATTTGTAATTCTAATTAATATATATATTTGTTCATTTACTTACGGTAATGCTTGAAATGCCGGAATTCCTCGTGCCCAATGAACTGACAAAAAAAGTAATCTAGCGGCACTTTCGCAAATATAATGTATTGATAAATATGCAGGAGCTGGACTAGGAGCTCTTAATTCGAATAATGTATGTCGTTCAGAAATTAATTGTCCAGTCCATTCTTCTTCTGGTTCACTTGAACCATTAACGCTCTATATAATAAAATTATATAATAATATTAAAAATGCTATATATTGTAATATAAAAAATATAATATAAATATATAAATAACATACTTCTCCAATAAGTTTAGCCATGCTATCCAATGCATGCGAAATAAGTAAACGTTCTCTTGCTAATGTTAATGCATCACTGAGATCACTATCACTGCTTTGATCTTCCATACTAGGACTTTCAGGTTGTTCCCAAGTTGGAGGTGCTTCAGATATTGATTGTTGTGGTTCTGGTTTAACTCTAGGACTTCTATTTCCTACTTTCGCTCCTGCTGATTCACCTAACACTGGTTTTCTCTCATGTTGAACAGCTATAATTTAGTTATATTAATAATTGTATAAAAAAAATTAATTTTATTTTTAATATTTTCAAGAAACTTACAATCACTTCTCATACCCATAGCAAGACATTTTTGAAGTCTACAATACTGACATCGATTTCTATGGTGTTTGGTAACTTCACAACTTTTGCTTCCTCTGCATTGATAACCTAACTGTTTTCGAATACTACGTTTAAAAAATCCCTTACAACCTTCACAACTTATTGCTCCATAATGTCTTCCACTAGCTCTATCTCCACAAACTACACATAATTCTAATGATAGACCCAAACCTAAAGAACCACGAACATCTCTCGCTAATTTTACCTAAAAAATATTGAATGTAAAACAAATAAAATATGCGACAATAGAAATTAAAAAATAAGTAAATAAAAATTTTACCTCTACATCAACATTATTTAAATGCTCAATTCCTGAGTGTAAATGAACTATACCAGTATGAGAACTCAAATTACGAAAATCTCGCCCCATCTTATGATCAATTTTATCATCATGTATATTATCAATATGATTATTTTGATCTCTTTCCATGTCTCTCTAAAATATGTTTATATCATTAATAAAGTATTATATAATTAATAAAACTTATCTAAAAATAAAAATTTTATATTTAATTTCTATTAAAATTTATATATCGGAAACACACCATAGCGGGATGATGAGTTAAATTATGAAAATTTCTTCCTATATTTTGATCTAGTTTATCATCTTGTAAATTTTCAATGCGATCATTTTGATCAATTTCCATATCCCGCTGTAATAAAAATAATATATTATTTTATATATAATTATAAATTAATTATTCCAAGAATTTAAAAATATGCATCAATAATATTCGAATCGATTTTTTAAAGAAAAATAATTAGAAATAATTAAACACCTCTATTTCAACGTCAGCCACATGATCCACACCATGATGACGAGATAAATTACGAAAATCCATTCCTACTTTTTGTTCTTCCTCGTTTTCATTTATATTATCGTGATCGTGTTGTTCCCTATGATCTCTGTCCATTTCTACCTGCAAAGATAGAAAATCGCGTTGAATTAAAGATTCGTATAACGTGTACAATATTTCTGCAGTTATATCATAATACGTATACTATATATTTTCTAAATAATGAATATCACTTGTTTAAAAAAATTGAGTATATACAAATCAATAACTATAAATTTATTCATTAATTAATGTTTTTTGGTTTCTTGATACTTACTAAGAAATAATAACGATATTATATTTATATTTAAACAAATGAATAAATAATTAAGTATTTATTTCATAATGATTAAATTGTAACATATCTAAAAAAAAATTTAGAAAAATCTTTTCTATAAAAATTGTATAACACATAATAAGAATATTGTATAGAGTAAAATTGGATAAATCATGATATAGTTTGATTTCATCTAAACAGAACATATCGTTTAAAGGCCTAAGTATCGGTGCGGTATAAAAATGAAAACTGGAGCATTTGCCGCCCGCCCCTACCTGCCGCAACCCTTTCCCCCTACCATTTTAAGAAGTGAAAGAGATGGTCCCGAGTTCTTCGGTTCGTAGGTTGCTACGTGGTTAGGCGCATGCCGATACCATAGCCATGCTACACTGGCTGTCATAGAGCGAATGGTCCATTTCCATACACTCGTGATCCGACTTCGTCACCACTGTCAGTGCAGTAACATGAGAAAACGGTGCCTGTACCGTTGCTCCAAAATAGTTAACATTTTTAAACCTTGTGTTCATTATACGTCGTAACATCAAGCGTATTCTCAACCTTTCTAATTGCGATAAACTTTCAACTAAAGAATTGCAATTACTTTCGAATAAAAATATACTTTTACAAATTTTATATTTAAATTTAAATTTTTTAATAGAAATCAATGTCTACAATATTATCTTTGTAATCAATAATACTACACATATCTGATTTCACGGAAGTGTCATACACGAGATTCATCGTCTTTCCATTTTGTGATCAAGAATTTAACGATAGTAACATGATACCTATTCTTTTTTTTTTTTAAACTCAAGCCATTGACCTGTTTAGACACGTGTCACCATTACATTTACAAATTTTATCGCGATTGCTTTTATCGTTATACTTCAAAGATCATATCTTAAATACTATCTGATGCGTCATAATGAATAGTCTGCTAAACAGTAATTCAAAATATGTTATTAAAAAACAAAAAGGTCAATCTCAATTGAAATTATATATCTAGAATTCTAATTTTTTCATAAATTCATTACTTGTATTCTTTTTTATACATATGTGTATAACTTGTATAATTTGAGATTAATTATTTTAAACATTTTATAAGATGAATTGCATTTTCTTCACACCGATCTTAGAAAACACGCGATGTGCTTTACATTAAAGTTCGAGGACGGTACACAATACACTACCTGTTGGGTCGACCTGTATCACCGCATTTGCGTGTGTCGGCGGTGGCGCTCTCACAGGTCACGCACAGTTTCTGAAAATATAACGTAGCTAGCCACGCGATAATACGCACGGAATAATATTCGCGTTTCAAAAAAACAATGTTTCAATAAACTAAAATCGGGGAAATATGACAAAATGACACATTTGCTATATATGAAATCGTTTCACTCAATACAATCGCTAACGCACAAAAACACCACGTCGAAGTTTAAAAGCAACCTTGCGCAGGTGAACGCAGGCAGGCCGTTCGCTGTACTGGCAGGTTGGCAGGTCACTCTCTTGTATACCGCCAAGACACACCGGCCAGGTGCATTCTCGCCCCGCTTGCCTGCTTTTCTACCTGAGCGAGAGCATTCGCTATAGAGGACCGCATAGTGGCCTCTCGACGAGCGTTACAGGTTATGTCACGTAATACACGCCCGCGATGACTTATCGGTTGAGGCTCGAGGTCGCGACGTCAATCGAGAATAGGTCAAATGCAAACAGTAGCAAAAATTTAAATTAAAAATATATATTATGTAAATATCAAATATCCTATGTATTGTTTTTAGAAACAAACATAAAGCCATCATTTATATTCTACTACATATAAAATACATAAATTTCTAAAACTGAAAACCGAAATTCTATTGACAATTTTATCTTTTTCATGAAAAAAAATATATATACAGTATGATATTAAAAATAAAAAAAAAAAAGAAAATATAATCCTAATTATAACTTAAATTCGATTATTAGTACTATATATCATGATTATAACCAAAAATATACAAAATTTATAAAATAAAGAAAATTATATTTTATAATTATAAATTGAATTTTATATTTTGAAATAAAAATAAATTTAAATTTCGATAAATCGTCTAAAATTATAATAATAATTTTATAATTCTAATTATTTTAATATAAAAATATAAAAATTATAATACTTATTTGTTTTTTTATTAAAAATAATGTTTTTTTTATTACTTAAATTCGTATTCTCTAAATATATTACGTTGGCTTATAACCTTTCGAATGATCATTCCAAGTCAGTTAAAGATTTCTTGGAACAGCATCAGTGAAGAAGAATAGTCATTCGAGAGTAATTATTTCTATACGACCGGACTTCACAGGTAAAGGTCGCTCGTGGGTCCGAAGGTTACCTCCTACCTACTTGATCACTGTATCGACACAGATTTATCTTGTAATTCTATTCGCTGCGTTAAAATTATATTACTAATTGCATATTATTGTTTCCTTTTTACTTTATCATAATCAATTTTTCATAAATGTGCATCATTCTTTAAAAGAATAAATAATGACGCAAATGTGTTTATTTTTAAAGATAAAAAAAAATATAAATATTTTTCAAGATTTTTAATTGTTAACGTTTAATATTTTCATTTCTAATTTACACAATGTGAAGTTTTAAATTTATTCTCTTCGTAAAAAACTGATACAAATATTTGAATTTGTTGTATGTATATTATATATATTATAATATTGTGTATGACAAATATAGAATATTAATTTGAAAATTATTTAATATTCAAGTCAAAAAATAATCAACAAAGTAATATTATCAACAGAGTTACAGAATTTCATAATTACAATGTCAAAATATCATGTGATCTTTATGTTGTCATTAAGCGAGAATATTTTATTTATTATTATTTTATTTAAAGTAAATAATGTAAATAATTTGTACTATATTTATTAAAGGAATTGACATGATATGAGTGAGCCAGCGTTTGAAATTTTAAGTATCGACAAAAGGATAACAAAAAATTAAACATTAAAAAATACATTTTTATAAGGACTTACCTATATTATTAATAACGATGACAAATTTGATTATGCATCATTTGGGCAATTCATAGCAGCAACTAAACTTCGTCAACTATCCGTGGGTTAGAGTTCATAACCTCTTCTAACCTTTACCTTTCCTTTGCCTCCTTCCCCCGAGTCTAACCCCACTGTTCACCTTTATAGCTACTCAACAATGCATTTGCTGCCATCGATATATGGTTACATACAGATCAACGATTTCAAACTTCTATTGCAGAATTTGTATGTCGCGCCGGATCTTCGGTAATCTTGAGAACTGTTTTCAATGTTGCTATGATGGTAAAGGATGTAACCATAGACGAAGTATAAAACAGAGTTACATGTAATATTCTTTAGAATTTGAAGATTATATATGTAATATGCACGTAACCTCCTTAGTTTTGTATCATATACGATTTGGTACAATACAAAAGAACAATTGTATTTTATTATGGATTTCATTAATATATTTGTGAGATATATTTTCACGTTATATAAAACAAGACGATATAATAAAGAAATAGAATTTTATCAAATCGATTTATTTAATGCAGACTTTAAATACTTATAATTCAATAAATAAATTTTAATTAAAATTTTTGTATGCTAATTTTTAGCCTCGTTTTAGCCTCGATTCTTTAAAAGTGTTCTACAAATATATTAACATTTTGTTTGTATATATATGTATAATATAATGTACAAAATAGACATGTTTAATTGATTATATATTTTCAATATAAAATTTAATCTAATGGATTTTGTTAAGATTTTTAATTAACAAGTTAAAGAAAATAATAAAATATTATGTCTCATTATTGTCTTTTGAACTGCAATTTGAATATACTTTAAGAGCAAATATAGACAAGAGCAGAACATAACGTGAAAACAGAGATTGGATAAAAATCGAAGAATCAGTGTTATTTCAATATTGTTAAATTAAACAAATATAAAAAAAGGGAAAAAATAATGAGAGAAGAAGAGTAACAGAAGATAAGAATTGACTATTAATGCTATTTCTTGAATATTAAAAACATTTTTTCAAAAATAAAATAGAATTAAAATTAATTTTGCGCCATCTCTTGAATATCAAAATTATGAAAAGTTCTTTTTTAATTCTTTTTTAAATATTTTTGATCGAGAGATGGCGCTGATGGTTCTATTTTTATTTATATTTTATTATTTATATTATATTCTATTCGTTTCCTACTATTTGCTTTTTTTCTTTATAATTTGTTTATAATTCTTGTATATTAATTTCGGTATTCTGAAAATGGCGCTGATTTTAAAATTTTTTATCTGTTTTTATCTTTCTTTCATTATTTATCATTGTCTATATTTACTCTTAGTGCATATTGCTTAGAAGATGGAAAATATTAACTAAACATATTTTCATCATCTTTCTTTTGAAAGTATAATTTGTTTATTATTTTTATAAAAAATATAGATATTTTCGGTTTTATAATATCTTTCGGATAACGATATCATAAAATATGTCAATATAATACATAATATATTATGATACATAAAACGAATATTTGAGGTAATATTAAAAATAACATCAAAATGTTCAGGGAATTTTGATATTCTTGAATAGAGATATAGGATAAAAAATATATGGAATAGTAAATCTATTCTATACATCATCTATGTTTAAATAAATTTTATCTCCAATTAATTTATATATAATTTTATAATTTCTCTCATTAATAATTAAAATAAACAAATATAGCACTAATGGGAATAAAAAAATATATAAACATATAATGTACATACAATATATAAAAATATAAAAACATGTGAAATATATATGCGAATAGTGAAATTTAAAGCATATATATCACGAAATGATTCATTTATCTCATATTCATATTCGTCTTTACTTAATTTATATTTAAATTTCTAAATGTCGAAATAAAAAATTATTTAAGATACAAATTTAATAACAATATATTTATTGTATTGCAAAAAATTATTTATTGTAAATAATTTTTTATGTAATACATAAATTCATTATACAAATGTTAATAACCTTTTGTTAATATTGCCATTATTTATATAATATATATAATATTATTAATATCAATACTATTCAATGTCATATTGAAATATTCATTTATTTATGAATTAAAGGCTTATTTTTATTACTATTATTGAATTAAATTATTAATTAAAATATAAAAGAAATTTAAAAATATATATTAGAAAGCTATATTTTTATATTAATCATTTAAGAAGTTTAAGATAATCAAATTAAGTGTAAATTCAATTTGTATCAAATTAATATCAGAGATGACTTATTATTACATAAAATACTTATTGATGTTAATAAAATCAACAATGCTGAAAATGTTGAATTTTTAATCTTATATTGTTTCATTGATGCAATGATCATTATTTTTATTCTTACAATGCCAGGTACTTTCTGTTTCTTATTTAATTTATGCAGATCAAAGATAACTGAGCTTATTTTCAATTTTAAGACACGAGTCAAAATAATTGTCATAAATTATAAGCAAACAATAAAAGATTCAGTTGTATATTGTGATATAAATATATTGTAGTAATAATAAAGATATGAATATAATAATATTATCACATTATATTAATACATGACATATATGTATATTGCATTATTATATGCATGAACACTCTCATTAAAATATTTTTATGAATAGGATAAATTAATTATAGAAGATACATATTTTTTTTTATATGAATAACAAAATATTTTTTTTGTTAACTCTTTAAAATTTCATGTATCTACTAACAATTTAATTTATTTAGAATATATAAATGCTGTAAATTAAAATAATGATAAACTAAAAATTAGAATATTGATATATATAATAAAATACTATTATATATATTGATATATATATATATATATAATTGTAACATTTCTTACATAATTTATATAATAGTTACAAAAGAATGTAAATAAGATTTGACTTCACTTTTTGCTTATAAAGATTTTTTACAATTTATTACATGTAACTGGCCACTATTTATTATTGTATTGTATGTAGTATTACTTTTTTTTTCATAAATATTTAAAATCTATTAGATTCATATGATGAATACAAATGAACAAATTCAAATTAGTTATAACTAACTATAAATATTGATATTTCTATTATCTATTGAGACTAATGATTGATATAGTTATTATCTATAGCAATCAAAAAATCATAAAAATGTGTTTCAGCAATAAAATTAATCTTATACTTTAGCTTATGTAAAATATACTTGATTTGTGTACCAAAGCATCATAATAATTTTACACGCAAATGATTGTTCCATTAATTATTTCAGCAGGTACTGCAAGTCGATCACAAAGATTCTGCATATTCAGTTAAAGGCAGATGTAAGTTATATTAGATCTCAAGTTCTTCTTAAGAATCCTTAAAAATATTTAGCACATAGTATATCCTAAGAAAAAATTTTCTTACCTATAAGTAAACATATTACAATATTGAAAAAATTATTAATTCTTTTATAATATTAAAGTAATATTTTGTTTATTTAAATACCTAGATTTTAATCTAAAATGATGGAATTTAATGGCCAAATACTTCTTGGCTAGCAAATACTATATAAAGAAAACCATCTGCATCTTGTTCTCTTTGATAAAGTTGTGCCATAGTCATACTACCACTAGCCATACTTCTTTGGTTTACTAATAGAAAAAATGCTTGTGTTGGATGTAGCTGTAATCTACGTCTATTAATTATAAATAATTAATAATATTTACAATTTAAGAATTTTATAGTAAGCAAAATTTAAAAATATATACCTAATAATTTTGATGAATTCTGCCACTGTTAAATAATCTGGTACCAAAAATTTAGATCTATCTAATACAGGTAATTGTTTTTCTCCATAATATCTTTCAACAATAATAGGTATTTTATTTGGATGATGTTGTCTAATTAATTCTACATCTGCAACCCTTTGTGCTAAATTTTGAGATGAAATTTGTTTAAATTATCAATATTTTATAAAAAAAAATAATAATATATCTAAAATTATTACATTTAATATCATATATTATGCATTAAAATTAATAAGATTAATTTTCAGAAATGAACGTAATTCTTTGAAATAATAATTATGATAGAATATATAATTATATAATAATATTATCAATAAAATAAAAATATTAAACTGTAAACTAAATAAAATTTCGCGAAGAAATACTTTGCATTTTGTTTTAGCTTTTTTTTGTTTTAATTTCAAGTATAAAAAACTTATAGTTAATAGTTTAAATTATCTGCTCACCAAATGAACGTCTTTCTTTAAATGATTTTGGTGTTAAATTCATCCTGGATTCACTATTTGTTATTACGACGTTCAAAGCGATATCAGCAGTAAACGCAGATATTCTTGACGGGTCAAAATAATGCCTGTCTCTATGACTTGTTTTCAGCTTAAGTTAGGTTCAAAAGATGATAATATATATTCACATTGGTTTGTGCTGCCCTCTTAATATTTATTAGTGATTTTTATATTTTGTTCCTTCCTTATTATCTCTTCGAAAACGAAACTTTGTCACGGATCACTCAATGGAAAGATATAGATTGGAAAATAATTTAATAAATTTAATAATATGATATTTATGATACTTTAATATAAAATAGAATATAACTTTTTATATTAAAGAGTAATTTATTAAAACAGAAAATTAAATAGTGAAAGTGATTCACATTATATTTATGTGAAATAATAGTGTTGCGTTTTTGCGGAAAAAACAGGAACTAACGTTGAAAATACGTATAGCTATCTAGAGTAAGACTTTAGTCTATGTCCTCCCTCTTGCTTTGAAACAGGAATACGTGTGGACACCTGTGCGTACGGCAAGCAGCAACCGTCTGTATACGTGAGAGTGCATGCGTGGGTGTTGTAGCAGGCGTTTCTTTATCAATAGAGAAATGGTGCTCCCGCCTTGAGTGTTTCTTGAATCGACGAGTGTGAATTTCTCAGTGAAAACTTGTGTTGGAATTGAATAAAAAAAATTAGTGTTATTAAATGTAACCTGAAAAGCGTATCTACCGTTTGTCGGAATTGAATGTACAACTCGATTAATGATACATGCACGCCAAACGTCAAAGGAAGGGAAAGATAACAAAAACATCTGTATTATTAACATAATAGATACATAAAAATGAAAAATAATCGCGTCTTAATAATCGTAGAAATTATAATAGAGGGTTTACTACCGGAAGCGTCATGCTACTTCGTTTAACCGTTGAAGATCTGTGAAAATCTCTCTCATGCGATATCATTTTTATTCGATTTCAGAGACCAAAAACTATATATATGAGAAATTATACATGAGTTAGTTACTCTGACTGTTCATCCGTTTGCCTGGTCGTCCACCCCTTCCAAACCGTCCTGACACAACGTTTAACGGGTGTATAAAAAGAATAAACATGATGGCGGCGTGAGAGAGATAGATAAGTGAGCAAGAGAAGGGAGAAGAGAGAGAAAGAGAGAAAGAAAGAAAGAAAGAAAGAAAGAAAGAAAGAAAGAAAGAAAGAAAGAAAGAGAAGTCAGCCAGCCAGCCAGCTAGAACCAGCCAACCAGTCAGTGTGCCAGAAGCGACGAACTTTGTTTCGTGCTATCTTTGTCTCAATGAAAAAATTTATCGTTCCTGAATATCCATCTATTTTTTTGCATTTATTCGCCTTTATAAAATCAAATAAATCGAGGAGAATAATAAGTTTTTATAATTAATGCTGAGAGAACATTTCGCTTGTAAACAGTTATCAAGGTGCGGCCACGTTCATCGTGTTCGCGGTGTTTGCTTCGATTTTCATGCATGCGGGGTCCACGACCGAGCGTGTGAGAAATTCAGCATATCGTCTGGTAACACGGTGGCTTGATTTCGATTTTCTAGTGTTTTCGTAGATGATAAAATGATATTTCACAGCCGGAAATATATGATTCGATGTCACTGATAACAAGCGTTCATTGAATTATAACACGAGGAAACTTTGTTTGAATTAATATAATGTGAATAATTTAAAGACAAAACTTAAAAACACAGGAAATGCGGTGTTGATGCATGTAAATAAAACACGTGATTAGATGAATAACTGCCCGAGAAGATTTAAGAAGTTGCTCTTTTTTAATTAGAATTCATCACATAAGGAAATTCTGCATTTAAAATTCATCGAATTGAATTGAATTCATAGCTACTAATAGAATCGAAAAAGCGTTTGTAACAATTAAATAATTCTCCACCGATTATTAATTGTTATTTGATCCAAAACGATTTATTTTTGAATATTTTTCATGGCAAATAGATCGAATCGAATCGTATATGGCTATTTTGATTAACGGTAATTATGCTCCAAGAGAGGTGAATTTCGTTGAGTGTAAAAATCTATTATATGAAGGACAACGACGCTATTATTTCGTCAAAGATTGACATCGAGACTTTTGTTCGAGAAATTCATCTGTTTAAGGGAATAGGATATTCGATGGAGCGAAATCGTCCGTGTTGGCCGGCCTGGTGGCAATAACCTCCAGTCAGAGGTGGCAGACAGTTTTCGCACGATGCGTTTGCCCTCGTGCGCGATAGATTATAAAATTAGACGTTCGAAACTTCGTACGAAGGAGAAAGAAGCAAAAACACATCGTTCTCATGCGGTAAAGAAGGTGGAGACACTGACTGGTGATAACGAACGAAGGGTCAAGCGACGAAAGGAATTAATACAAGTCGGATGAATAATTTCGAGGGTAGACAGCTGTGCATAGTCAGAAGTGACGTCAGTCGCGTTGGGTTCATAGTTCCTCTTATTTTTCTCATTCGGAGCTGCGTACAGACATCGCGTGCGAAGGGGCGACAATGAAAGCGGCAAATAAGCGAAAATAAAGAAAAAGCACGTTAATGACCAAGCGAAAATAAGAAAAAAATACAAAGTCAAGTTTTCGATGAATGATAATTATCTCACTCGCACTCGTTACAGTGAAAAGAATCATCACAATTTCTAGTCTGTTGCATTTACATCGAGAAATCTTTTTTTTTTCATTTCTCGATGAAATATTATTAAATCGATTATATTTCAAACTGCACGTGCTATGTATCATCGCCATCGCGGATCGAAACACGTTCGATGCGCTCTTATAACGATGCGCATTTATCGAGCACGCATCGCAGATTGTTCGTAATGCTTCGTCTTAGAAGATTTGATAATTTCATTAAATAGTTATCGTGCAAAGATACACGAAAAAAAAAAAAAAAGAAAGAAAAGAAAAAAATAACATTTCATAATTCAGCAGTTTATTTTAAACACTGAGAATGAGACTGAAATTCAATTATTAAATCTTTTAGTCGATTAATTTATTTGAGGCGGACGAGTTCGTTGAAAAGTAATTACGGAATCGGCAAGTTTGACCAAATTTACTTCTACATTATAAATATTATATAGAGATATAAACTAAATTCATATAAATCTGCAAATCCTTAGAACAAGAGAAATACGACAAGCAATAAACGATTGCTTTTAAAATTAGGATATTAGTCTCGACGAACCAACATGTTTTTTATCCAAACGACAATACATCGTGACACGTTAGAACGAACGATAATAGTTGAAATTGCAAAAAAAGAAAGATATTAAAGGGAAAAAAAGGGGCGTTCGCGATCGATGCACTTCACCCTGTTGAATTGTATCTGTACGAGTAATCATCCAATGATTGGTTATTTCGTTTTCTTTGATACACGACCTATCGGTCTGTCCGAGAAGAAACGACACACGCTTCAATATCATCGTCAAATGGACACAAATGACTAGCTTAACATTATCTTCGAGCACGTTCGAGATGCCCCGGTCTAGATCAAAACTGTTCGTACCCGCGAACGCGATCTCAACACAGACGTACAACACACCATCAAGTGAGAACAATCATCTTCCACCCTTGAAGGGTAGCGCATTGGCACTGAAGCAGCCTGCAAGCGAGTCGTCGCCTAGTTACTTGACCCGAACCAGTCACATGGCCGGTACTCATCTTCCGAGTTTAAGTTCCAGCGCCAACAACAGCTTGCTCAGCCTGACCGGGAACTCCGATAGCTTGAACCTGAGCCTGAGTTCGCACACGAGCCACAACTCGAGTCACAACTCGAGCCATAATTCGAGCCACAATTCGAGTCATAATTCGAGTCACAACAATTCCAGTCATAACTTCACTCATAATTCCAGTCATAATTTCAGTCACACCACCGCTCACGAGTCACAACACGCGCAGTCGAATAGCCAATCAAGCACCGCGTCAGTGGTGAAGAATGGATGTTCGAACGGAAGTTCCTGCGGCAGCGGTATCCGCAAGCCGAAGACTATCATCGCCACACCGGACGTCGTGTTGAAGATCTACGTGGACAAACTGACACCGTACGAGCACCACGAGATTTTCAATTATCGGCATATATATTTTATTGGGGCGAACGCGAAGAAGAGGCCGGGGATAATCGGTCGACCTCATAACAATGGCTACGACAACGAACATGGTTCCTACATCCACGTGACGCATGATCACGTGGCCTATAGGTACGAGGTGTTGAAGGTGATCGGTAAAGGTTCGTTCGGTCAGGTTGTAAAAGCGTACGATCACAAAAAGCAGGAGCATGTCGCCCTGAAGATGGTGAGGAACGAGAAGAGGTTCCATCGTCAGGCGCAGGAGGAAGTGAAGATATTGAGGAAGCTACGCGAACAGGATAAGGACGACACGATGAATATCATTCATATGTTCGATTCGTTCACGTTCCGTAACCACATGTGCATCACCTTCGAATTACTCGGTATTAATCTGTACGAGTTGATCAAGAAGAACAAGTTCCAGGGGTTCAGCATGCAGCTTGTGAAGAAGTTCGCGCATTCGCTGCTACAGTGCCTCGATGTTCTCTACAAGAACAGGATCATACATTGCGACATGAAGCCGGAGAATGTTCTCTTGAAGCAGCAGGGACGCAGTGGTATCAAGGTGAGCGCTGTTCCTTTTCTTTTTTTTTTTCCTTTTTATATAACGTATTCATGCACATTCTTATACATTTCAGATAACTTTTGAAAAATATTCAACAAAGAACAAGTCGTAATCGTTTATTTTTGATCTTTCATAAATTTCCAATCAATCTTATTAGAATACAATCCCGTTCTTTCAAATACAAGTCTGCTTATGTATTCAATCGATTCACTTCACCATTAAATAATTAACGCGTAAGAGTTGCGTAAAAGTAAAAGAATAAGTAAATAATTAAAATGAAAATAGTTTATCACGTTTTTCATATTTCGTAATATCATTGGATTCAAATGGAAGAAGAGATACGATGCAACAAAGAAAATATTATAAACGAAAAAGTAATAAAAAATTAAACTGATGATTACTTCATCAACGGATTAAAAATTTATCCATTTTAAAATCAAACATCGCGTACATCCTGTTATTCGAAGAACCACACCTCCGATATTTTCAATCGTTCCCTGGGCATCTCGATTCGGGGAAGGTAAACAACCATCTTCCGTGCCAATATCCAATACGTTGCCCGTTCCACGCGGCTGGATTTTTACGCTCTCCGTTCGCCGAGATTAAACGGCATGACTCCACTCGACGGACAGGGAATACAAGCTCGTCGTTAGCGTGAATACCGGCAGGCATAAGCGGAATAAGCGGACAAGCTGGCTCGCGTGCTCATGATGCGCTTTATACACATCATTCGCCGTACATGCGTACGTATATCGTGTGTACCACGGGGGAAACAGACGGATTTCGTGTGTCATCGTGCACGTAGACGTTGTATCTGCGATATCGTACGACAATACGCGAAGATTAGCGTATTGACAAATGCAATCATGCACCTATGCAGAGATATACGTATAGGAGGACAGACGAAGCTTGTCCTTGTCCCATGTAATAAGCTCTGAGAAACGTGTTCACGTCCAGGTAGTGTCGCTATTATCTCGCCGCGACGGTCTATAGAATTTGCACGCAATATCGTGAACTTTCTGGCCGCAATGTTCGCTTTCTTCGTCGACCTTGCGAGGTCGAGCGTATTAAAAGTATACGCGTTTCGTTTTCCCTTCGTTCCAACTTTTCGTTACAACTCGTTAGAATTATTAACTACACAATGATCGTGCGCAAAGGTGATGGGCAGAGTGACAACTAAAAATAGTTTCACTTCGAATTTTCTATGATTAGGTTATTTTTGTATGGATGAAATGGAAAGTTATCGCTTTTGTATCGTAACTTCTAATTATAACACAATTGAATTAAGACATTCCATTTTTGTAAGGAGTAATAGTATATATTAGATGTACAACTGATAAAATGATTTCTTAATAGATTAAATTATGTTTGATCACGTAGAAATTAATTTATTAGCTGTTTGTAAGGATTTAATCTTACTGGTTATTAATGATTCAAAAAAATTTCCGATGTTATAAATCGCTTCGTCATTTTTAAGGAAATTAAAATAAGAATAAGTAAATATATATATATAAAAAATGTAATGAATTTAAAACAAGTTCTTATCGCGATAAGAGTTAACACATAAAGCTATAATCGAGATAAACGAGAAAACAAATTACTTAGTAACACAAGCGAGAAAATAAATTACTAATTATATACGTTCAATTTTAATTTTTAACTATATATTTTTACACTTTTTAATTTTATAAACAGAAAAGAAAATATAACGTTGAAAATTTTTGAACGGTTTTAATTCAATTAGCCAGAGGCTGTACACTTTATAGTTAGTATGCTTAGCAGCAAGACAAGCTTTACATAAATTGATTTGAAGATGTTTGAAGGATTCATAAGTCGGGTAAACGTGGTTGTTACCCAAGCTTCCGGGTATAGACCGTATTCTTTTGAACGAGTACCGTAGTTATCGGAGAATAGAGGTATATAATATCCAAGTGGTTGGAAAGAATGGCTCGGGGCATTTTAATAATTCGAGTAGTTCAAAGGAATCGGTGGCACGAATATAATTAACCAATTCTCGTTTACCTCGATAAACCTGAAAATTTATTTAAATCGTATTTAAAAACTTACTTTTCAAGCGTAACATCGCGTTGTTGGTAAAATGAAAATCTATTTTCCATTCTTCACGATGCGTGTCGTTTATCGGTCTTAAATCGGTTTAATGAACTGGGGAAAGTGTACACGCGACCGATCGGCGCGAAATCACGATTAAGTTTCATTACTTGCCGGTAATGGTATTCATCAACCGTTCCGTGGATATTTCCTCGAGCGTGAAGATCGAAGTTCTCGGTGTATTATCGATGTATTATGAATAAGGTCGCGAGGGATGGTGTATCAATCACGATCAGCCGAGTGTGAATCACGCCTGAATAGAAGAAAATAAGTCAAATTTCCTTCGAAGAGAGATAGAATATCTCTCGCTGAAACGATTCGTTTTCCTTTCTGCTTGACACGATGGTATAAAAATGAAAGGAAGAATTTATCTTAGAGGGGATAATATTCTCTAATCGATAATCTTATGCTTTTTCTCGAACTCGAAAATATCTTTGAGATAATTTTTCAAAATTTTTTGCATTATTAAAACAACGAATAACCGACACAGTATTGTTCGATCATTCTCAATTTCGTTTTCCTAATATTTAAATCTTGGTTTAATGCAATTCTCAGGTCTGAGTATTGTCCTGTCATCTTGTCTGAATATTCATTGATTTTTTGTAGAACAAGGAACTCAAGGACGCATGAGAGAGAATATCACATTTTATTTTATTTAATTATATTCCTTCGTGTTCCATTGTTCTCGATCGTATACACGATGCTTCGTTATCTCGTTTTTTTTTCTCTCAAGTTATCCACGCCGACGCGAGGGAGATTGAAAAGAATTTATTCGCCTTTTCATAAAGTTATACGATGAAGAGCAATCGGTCGGAAGATGAACGTCGCGACAAACTCGTAAATTAGACTATGGCTGGCAAAGGAAATACGTATAACTGTTAAAAGAGAAAACAGCGATATACGATGACATGTACGGGAAGCTAAAAATTTATAATAATTTATTCGAAAAGATTAAAACTAGTATCGTATAATTTGTTATATATCGTACGGTGATGATGCTAGTAGTATGAATCAGATTTTACGACCGATCAACATTCTGATCAAGTAAATAATTTCATTTCTGGTTTAATGGCAACAATATTTGAATAATCACACATGTATCTTCCATAACTAGATTTTTTTTATTCCTCGTCCGCTTTACGATCACGATTTAAGTACACTTTCATAGATTTAATATATATGTTTAAACGTTATAGCGTATTATAAAATTTAAACGCAATATAAAACGCAACGTAAACTGTAAACAGTGTAAACAGCTCTGTTATAATTATCTAAACTAAGAATTAAGTATATCTCGATTGATCGAAAAGTGTAGTTAAATTTTACAAGATGAATATTTACAAGATGAAATTTTTAATCGTGTGATATTATCGAAAGAATCATTTGTTATTGAAAATTTGGTGATGGTGGTCGGATGCCTTTCAACCGAATATATCTTGTTTATGTGCTAGCTTCCATTAACCACGAACTTGTGGCTTCCGGTGGTCCGTGCAAATCACCGATGTCAACCGGAACCACGAACCTTTCATGAATGACATAGCACCTTCTCGAACGGTATTCGGTCGATCAACGACATCAATATCTCGGTAACGAGACCGCTTTTCACACGTTAACCCACGTTACAAGATGAAGTCAAATAGGAACCGATACTCGAATAAATATTCCGATACTGAATCGTTCAATTTTTAGTTTCAATTAATCAAATACGTTATTATCGTTTCTCATCGTTGAGATACGATTGAAAACAAGCGAAGATAGAACGTTTTCAAGGATATTTATTCTCGATGTATACACGGGTTTACGATCATTTGGACAAGAATATCTTGTCACGGTGTGTAGGAGAGACACCCTGTTACACGCCTCGCGCGAGAAATACGAATGATCTCACTTTCCAGATCGCATGATCCGTGAACGGTAACAAGATCGGGCCGCGAAGTTTTCCACGCGGTTCGTTTCGATTCGATAAAAGCGCAGGAAGAATCGCGTTTCCGTACTGCGAGCGTATATACTTATAGGTATACTTTTCTTCCATCGAGGATTTTCTTGGAAGCTCGAATGCGTGTTCGAGAATGGACGCCGTATACACGCCATATGTACACTTCTTGGATATCCATGGCGGGAATATATCGATAGAAAGCACAAGATATTCCTTATTACTTTGATTGGATCATCTTCGAATTAGAGAAATAATTTCAAGAGATTTCTGAATTTCTAATCATTCTAGATCTTGTACCCTTTTCTTTTATTTTATTCCCGATTCTGGGATATTTTCGAATGGGGAATATATCGATAGAAAGCACAAGTTATTCCTTATTACTTTGATTGGATCATCTTCGAATTAGAGAAATAATTTCAAGAGATTTCTGAATTTCTAATCATTCTAGATCTTGTACCCTTTTCTTTTATTTTATTCCCGATTCTGGGATATTTTCGAATGGAGAATATATCGATAGAAAGCACAAGATATTACTTTGATTGGATCATCTTCGAATTAGAGAAATAATTTCAAGAGATTTCTGAATTTCCAATCATTTTAGACTAGACTTTGTATTCTTTTCTTTTATTTTACTCCCAATTCTGGGATATTCTCGAATGGAAATATCGAGCATGTGGAAATTTTGATTGAAGATTCGCACGAATTATTAAACAGGCATCCAATAATAATTCTCACTCTAGACGTGCTTCTTCAGATATCTAGAGATTCCATCCAAATGTCCATGTATTTAACAGACCCGTGATGATATTTGCTCGCGAATAGATTCTCGCATCAAAGAATTGGCAGGTATTGCGTCAGGTGTCGAAAGTGAATGTTTCGAGCACCTCTTCCTCTCCCGTGTTACTCTCTTTTGCCCTTCTTCTCTCTTTTTTTTTCCTCTCCCTCTTTTCTCGGT